TTATTATTCTCGAGGTGAATAATCTAATGACCAGCAGGACACAGGATCACCAGCTGACTCAAGCCTGTAGTCTTTCTTGTATTGCCTGAAACAAAACCAAAAGACAACAAAATTTGTGATAAAGCCCTCAAAGAGCAGGCCTGGATTCAACAGCCTTCGCCACACTCTGTGTTTACAGCTGGTACCAGAAGTCTGAGGCTCTGCGTGGGCAGAGCTGGTGCATCCCACCCCTAGAGCTGGCTGCAAGGGAAGCTTAAATATTGTTCTTGCTCTAAACATAGCAAACTGCTGTCCTTTACCCAAAGGATGGGCGTTCCTATCAATAATCTGTTTTATTTATTTTGATCTCTGCTATTTGCTGATAAAATCAGTCATATAAAGCATGTGCTGCCCTCCCCCTTATCCCATCTCCATTACCTGGTAACTCTGTGCTCAGATCCAGACACGCTTAGGACTCTTTCATCATCTCTCTGATTTACACCGGGCTTAATCTCCACCTGTGTTTTTGAATACAGCTGACCTGAGCAAAAGACACAAACGTTGCTTTACAACTCCTTGACCCGAGCCATCGGTGCCTGGTTGTTCATTTAATCCAAATGGCAGCCAGGACCCCAGGAAAGCAGCCCCCTGCCTCAAAAAGGTTTCCTGCCTCATGAAGCCCTGGTTCTGGATTGCTCTGCAGGAAAAGCTGGCCTGGATTTACTGCTCTGCAGAAAAAGGTGACATTAGGTCCTTGAGAAGAATAAATGAAATGCAGAGTTTCTCTGGAAGGCCCTGAGTTGCAGCATCCCTGCTGCCAGCCTGTGAATTTTCATGGAACTTGCAGAAGCCAAAATTTTAATAAGGACTTATGATTGGACTCAAAGAAAGTATAATTTAGGATCTACTTCATGGGCAACTTTTCAATGGAATTAAAGACTTGCACTGAAATATTTAGGCCCCTAAAAGCAATCGTGCATCGAAAAGCGTGATTTTCCCCTCACTTTGGCTGCCTACCAGATAAGGACACATTTCAAGCACCAGGGAAAGCAAGAAGGAGAAGTCCCAACATCCGTACCAAGGTGGGCTGCTGCAGCTTGGAGATGCCGAGGAGGCTCTTCCCTCTTCATAGAATCATAGAATCACAGAATGCTTAAGGTTGGAAGGGACCTCTAGAAATCATCTAGTCCAACCCCCCTGCACACACACAGTGTCACCTAGAGCACGTGGCACAGGGCTGCGTCCAAGCGGGTTTGGAAGATCTCCAGAGAAGGAGACTCCACAAGCTCTCTGGGCAGCCTGTTCCAGTGCTCTGGCACCCTCACTGGCAAGAAATTCTTCCTTAAGTTCCTGTGGAACTTTTGGTGTTTCAGTTTCCAGCCATTTCCTCTAGTTCTGTCGGTGGCCACCAGTGAAAAGAGGCCGGCCCCATTCTCCTCACGGCCTCCCTTGAGGTACTTCTAGACACTGCTCAGGTCCCCTCTCAGCCTTCTCTTCTCCAGGCTGAACAGGCCCAGCTCCCTCAGC